TAATAATAATAATAATAATAATAATAATAATAATTTATATCCCCGCCCCTTTGAGGTCAATTATATCATGTCTCTGTAAAAAATCAATACACTCAGGATCCCTAGCTTTCATTTTCCACCCTGCAATGTTCCAGGATAGACAGTTAAGGTGTGCTTTACCTGGAGTCAACAGGTTGGCATTATTGTGGCTCTTTTGCTCTGCAGAGAGGCAGGGTAAAAATAAAATTTTATTATTATTCATTATATTATAAAGGAGCATTAGTAGAATAAGAGGGGATAGCTATATTGACAGGGTCTATTATAAGAGGTGCCTTATTGGCTGTGTTATAGATATTAAATGCCACATGCCTTTCTGTTTGTCATTTTAATACTTCATTCTGATCAAGATGTCCTGTCTCGTCAAGGTAAATTGCACCATTTTTCTTAGGGCCCTTTCTTTTTGTTATGTCAGAAGCTAAAGTTAGCACATTCTTCTCAGGGCCTCCCTTATTGGTGTTAGATATTTCCTTGATCTGGCTTGAGGTGACACTTACTGGCTTCTGCATCATTTGTAAACTAATTTTTGTCTTCATTGAGAAGCTCAGATTGGGGAGTCTTCTGAATATTTATTGGTTTTGTTCCTCCTATTTTTCCTCCTCTCTGTAGTTCTAATAGTGTTGCACAAAGAGACTTTAGTTTATCTAAGATCTCAGATTTTACGGGTGGGGGCATAAAGGCTTTCAGGTTTTCAGGAGGGTGTCTTCTTCCTCAAAAAAAGTTGCATTAAAGGCTTTTAGTGGAGATATATCTACCTGTGGAATTTTTTGAAGGTCTCTAACATGAGGAAACTGAGAGTTTTCGTACTCAGGCACTGATAGATCAATTAAGTTGGTCGTAGGGATTTGATTTACCTCATTCTCAATATTGGCGGCAAATGGCTCTTTAATTAGTGGTTCGGGTGGAGCTTCACTTTTGAAAAAGTGAGAAATTGTCATGCCTTTGTCCAGAAAGGCCTCTCTGAGAGAGTACAATTTCTTTGGTATATATTCATTTGAAAATGTTATTATTGCTCAGACTTGATTGGAGGAGCTATTGGCCAACATGGGAGTATTAGCCAACATGGCTGAGGCTTCTGGGATCTGAAGTCCCTTGGCCCTTAAAGGGGCAAGATTGCCTAACCTTGTGTCAGATGGTTGATCCATCCTTTCATCTGTAATTTTGACAATTGGGGAAAAGTACTGCAATATCTCTGTTTGCTTTGACTGTTTTTTATTGGCATCGTTGTTAGCCTGCGATGTTTTATCAGTTGGGGAAATACCCTGTCTAGTATCCCTGTCTAGTTAAGACCACCATCTCCAAATATTATACCCCTTGGATTATCTAATCCTTAAATTGAATGCAAGGTGTTGCAAGACAGAGTTAAAAATAAAAATTAGATTAAATAAAACAAACAATTATAAACCACAGGCCTTAATGTTACTTATATAGCAAGCTTATAAAAGAAAAAAGGTAATATTATCTAAAAAATCTGCGTATATCAACTCCCAACTGTGGCTTTAAAAATAGGTTTAAATAAAATAATTGATTGGTGTCCTCCATCTCTGCTTTCCAAGGGCAACAATTAATCATTAGTCAGTTATGTAAATTCTGTTTAGTTGGGGAAACAAGGCTAAGAGGACTCAGGCTCTGGCTCCTTCGCTGTCTCGTCACCACCTCCAGAGAGGCACTGGTGATGCTGGGGCAGCCTAAAAAGGTTCCAGTGCTCTGGCTCCACTGCCTTCGCTGCCTCACCATTGCTGTCACTGCCGGACTGTCCCATTAGTCTTCTCCAAGTAACAGATGCTGAGGCAAAGAGAGGGGTACCAGCCTTAAGTCTTTCAAACAGGTCAGGCAGACGAAGAATAAAAAGACTGGCTTAGTTATCTTCTCTGCAGGTAACAAATGCTGAGAAAGAGGGTGAAGCAGAGTCTTAAGTAACTCAAGTAGCCCAAGCAGGCCCCCCCCCAAAAAAAAAACACAACACAAAACAAAACAAAACAATAAAAAGGCTGGCCTTTTTATCTCCTTTGCAATTAACAGACACTGAAACAAAGGGCGGAGGAGACTCTTAAGTAATTCAAGCAGCCCAGGCAAGCCAAAAAATAAAAAGGCTGGCTTTTTAATCTCCTTTGCAATTAACAGACGCTGAAGCAAAGGGTGGAGCAGAGTCTTAAGTAATTAAAGCAGCCCGGGCCGATAGGGAATAATATGGCTTGGAAGATTCTAACTTTAGTGCTCAATTGTATATCTTTGCTCTTTAAGATCTTCTCTAGTTCTTTCTTTGCTCCCATTCCCAGTCTTCCTCTTATTTCTTGACTGCAGTCTCCATTCTGATCAATGATCCAAGTTACAGAAAATACTGCTAACATAAAAAAAAAGACTTTGAACAATTACTAAAGAAAGACAATGAAGAATCTGCTAGAGCAGGCTTAATGCTGAACATTAAGAAAATTAAAATAATGACTACGGAAAATCCACATAAATTAAATTTAGATGATAAAAGAAATAGAAATAGTAAAAGAGTTCCCTTACCTTCTTGGATCAATCATTGATCAGAATGAAAACTGTAGTTAAGAAATCAGGATAAGATTAGGAATGGGAAGGCCAGCTATGAAGGAACTGGGCAAGATCTTAACGTGCAAAGACATAGAATCATAGAATCATAGAGTTGGAAGAGACCACAAGGGCCATCCAGTCCAACCCCCTTCTGCCATGCAGGAACTCAAAATCAAAATATTCCTGACAGATGCCCATCCAGCCTCTCTTTAAAGACCTCCAAGGAAGGAGACTCTACTACATTCTGAGGAAGGAGTGTGTTCCACTGTCGATCAGCTCTTACTGTCAGGAAGTTCCACCTAATGTTGAGCTGAAATTTTCCAGTAGCTTGCATCCCTTGTTCTGGGTTCTGTTCTCTGGAGCAGCAGAAAACAAGCTTGCTCCTTCCTCAATATGACATCCCTTCAAATATTTAAACAGGGCTATTATGTCCCCTCTTAACCATCTCTTCTCCAGGCTAAGCATACCCAGTTCCCTAAGTCGTTCCTCATAGGGCTTTATGGTTTCCAGACCCTTCACCATTTTAGTCACCCTCTTCTGGACACGCTCTAGTTTTTCAACATCCTTTCAACA